TGAACAAAAACACTATTCAGGGCTCCAGATTAACTTTTTCACTGGTAGCCCCGGTACGACCCACTTTCTCATTTTGCCTCCCACCTGGTCAAAGACAAAACATAGGACTTGCTGAACATTTTGTTATCGATAGACGCAGCAATTTATTGATGCTCCCTAAACGTCCCACATAGCAGGCTGCGGCAGATGCTGCTTGGTGGCTGTGGTGTAGTCTGACAGGTGTGTGACCAAAAATGACGTAAAGAATAATAAAGTAGGGCGCTCTAATAACACATTGGTCTGAGGTTAAACCGAGTTACATGTATTCTAGACACGTAAAGACTGATTTTAAATCTTGTTAATAATACAAGAATATGAGCATTATTATTAATTTTATTATTATTTTGTTGTAACTGATTCAAATTTCTTTTTGTGTTTAAGAACTACTTTTTATCTGTTAATTAGTAGTGGTGCAGTGCCCCTGCGCCCCGTATTGATCAGCTGCCACTGTATACATACTATAACTGATTTTTAACTGGTGGCCAAACATATGCAGTTGAGCACTGAAGACTGCATTTTTAAAACTACAACTACTACACCTATTGGCCGGGTTCTTCACCAGTCAAAGCTTTATGTGAGAATGGCAAACAGCAGTTGAAAAAAGCTCATATTAAGTCTCGACTAGAGTTCGCCACAAGACATATGGGAGACTCTGAAACCAGCTGTATCACGTTTCTTTAGTCTGGCGAGAACAAAATTGAGTTTCTCGGCCACCAGACTACACACTATGTGTAACAGACACCTAACAATGTACATCATCACAAACACACCATCCTCATTGTGGAGTATGGTGGTGGTGGCAGCATCCTGATATGGGGATAATTCTGAGCAGCAGCTCCTGAAATGCTTGTAAAGGTAGAGGGTAAAGCAAATGCAGCAAAAATATTGGACAGCACTGTAGGACAGCCTGATGAGAATTGTAGCTTTTGTTTTCCAGCAAGACAATGACCTGAATCATACAGCCAAAGGGAAACAGAAATGGTTTTAATTATTGACATAAAGCTTTCATTTTAGTGTACAATAAAATCATATTTTTCAGACTATTCAGATGCATTATTTTACTGCTGTAAGTCCAAAACATGGTTGTGTATGAAAATCCCAGAAGATCAGGAGCTTTTGAACTCTCAACCAGCCTGCGTGGTACCTGCAGATTCATTTGAACCACCTTGAATTCATCTGTAATCTAAGCCTGGTTTGAATGTCAGCCGATCCTCTTGATTATTTCTACATGCCTAAATGCGTTACGTTTCCGCCACATGATGGCTGATCACATTGAACAGGTGTAAATAATGAAGTGGCTGGAAAGTGGATATTTCAGTGCAGCCAATCAAATGCTGAGTAAAATGGCAATGTTAGTGTCCTATCACAGGCAGAGCAGGCGGTCAGATTGAGGCAGACGGCAGCATGCTTCATAATTCAAGAAGCACAGGCTTTAAACAGCAAACCACTTTTCTACTGCAGTCTCTTCAAATTTACAAACTTGAACACATATCTTGTTTTACACCTTGCACAAATGACCAAACAAATGTTCAGCAGGGAAAAGTTTGCAGAATAGACAGCTAATTAGTTGCTCAGCTGCTCCACATTAAATATCATACTTGCCTCTTTGGTATGGTTGGATGTTGACAGAATTCGTTGCACGTACGCCACATAGCGAGCTTGTTTACTCTGTCTCGCCTTCTTCGTAGTGTAACACCCACACTCCAGCAGTCAGCCAGCTGCCGTCAATCAGACACTTGACACGCCTTACCAGGTGGCTGAGAGTGAAAGGGATGTTTCATCACGACTCAATTTATACAGTCGTGAACAAAAGTTTACATACACTTGTAAAGACCATATATATCGTGGCAGCTCTAAGTTTTCAGTGACGCCTACGACTCTTTATTTTCTGTGATGGATTCATTGAAACCCATGCGTCTTGGTCACACAAAACAATTGTGCATTTTGATTCTTTGATAGATTTATTATATTATAAACCTGCTGGGTCAAAAACACACATACGGCTATGCTAATTTTAGGTCAAACGTCCCTTTTATCATTTTCATGCCAGCTCAGTGCTTTTGGTAGCCTTCCACGAGCTTCTGGTTGTATCTTTGACCACTCCTCTTGACAGAATTGGTACAGTTAAACTGAATTTGTTGGCTTTCTGACATAGACTTGCTTCTTAATCACAAGCCACAGTTTCAAGATGGGTTTTAAGTCAGGACTTTGGGGAGAGCAGTCGAACACCTTTATTCTAGCCATATTTAGCCATTTCTTTACCACTTTGATGTGTTTTTGGGGTCATTGTCTTGTTGGAACAGCCAAATGCATCCAAGACACAACCTTCTGGATGATGATTTCCCAAAAAAAGAAGTGATCCTCCTCCTTCATGACTCCATTTACTTTGTGTAAAGAACTTTGCTTCAGAAGGCCTTTTCTTTGTCAATGTCACCAGCAGCAAACTTTAGTCGAGCCTTCGAGTGCTGCTTCTAGAGGAAGAGCTTCCTTCTTCCGTGGCAGCCTTTCAGCGCATGGTGATGAAAAACATGCTTGACTGTGGACACTGTTACCTGTGTTCTAGCAACTTCTAGTTCATTGCAGATCTGCTTTTTGGTGATTTGTGATTGACTCTTGACCATCCTGACCTTTTAGTAGCAGGTGATATCTTGTTTTTTTCTTCCTGATCGTGGCAGTGCAGTTTATACTTCCAAACAGTTGTTTGCACAGTTGATTTTAGGATCTGTAGTTACTTTGAAGTGACGTCAAGTGCCTTCAAGTCAGTGATTTGCTTTTTCAGATCTTTGCTGGGCTCCTTTGACTTCCAGCATTTGTGGCTGAGTCTGGTGAGTGCATGAAATGTGTTTTAACTGGCTCAGAGGAGTCAGCAGCTATAGTCAATCATTATCACTTATGAGAAGTTAAGAGGCAAGAGGCCACTAAGAAAATTTGGTCAACACAGCTGTCTGTGGGCGCCCTGGTAGCTCAACAGGTTGAGCGGGCGACCCATAAGCAGGGACTACAGTCCCCGACGCAGCAGCTATGGGTTTGAATTCAGCCCATGGCACTTTGTTGCAGGTCCTTCCCCCGCTTTCCTGTCTTCCTTTCTACTCTATACTGTCAATAAAGGCTAAAGGCAGAAAAAAATTATATTTAACATCCCTCTCCCCCCCAAAAAAGAACACAGCTTCCTAGGTCACCAAAACCGATAATTAAAGTTGCTGAATGTATATTTTGACCAAGCTGATTTTGTCATATTTCCAGTCGACCCATAATACATGTGTATAATAAATGTATAAATGTGATTTCAGTGACTTCAAAAATGTCTTTGCAAATGTTTTATAAGGAAGAAAATAAAGTACATTAAACACGGTTAGCCTCAAGGTTACTTAGCCTGCCACATTTTTTATTAACATCGGATGTAGGCAGGAGCTTTTATGTGTTCTTCCACAATGCACCTTGAAAATCGCATTGACGAAGGTAAAGGTGCATTAAAACTCTTCAGGAAACCTTTTAGCAAAACAAGTGAAGGAAGTTATTATGATCCTTTCGCAGCACATTTCCTTTGTCATATTGTTTATTTTTGCTGATGCATTAGGCTTAAGCAGCCTCAGGAGCTCACTTTAACAATTTTATATACCGTTGTACAGTTTCATCCAGACCAAAAGCATCACATTTTATGAGCTATATATTTATGATGTATTCAAAATTGTAATCTTCAAAGTAATTAACTACAGTCAACAAATTAATGTAATAAAAGGAAAAGTTACATGATTGCATCTTAAATGTGGTATGAATAGTACTGAAGGATAAATCGAGTTACACAACATATATATATATTTTTTAACTCACTGATATCACAACACTGTGCTTCAGTGCTGCACTTGAGCAAAACTGAATATCTTTCAGTTCTGCAAGTAGCAAACAGCAACAACACGATGTGTATATCTGTCATGCTCAGGTTTGCAAGATTATCTGATGTTACCTTCACTCTGAAGCACAGATGTTTGTCTGTGTCTCATTGCAGGAAATGACCCACATATTTCGTATGTATCTGAGGTCAGTTTTTCCACTCACTTATATCTCTGTCTCCATGGTGATTTGAGTACCAGTCTGTGTACCTGTCTACACAGTTTCCTGCATTATTTTTCTCTGCTTTTTGCTTTGTCTCTTTGCTTTTTTGCATTTCATTTTCCATCCTAATTCCCCCGTCGAATCCCATATCGGCTGCTAAACCCACTTTGACTTCTGTGCGACGCTGTGGGGTTGGTTTGTTCTGTTTGAAACTGCAGCAGTGTCTCTGAAACTTTCCTCTGTAAAGTGTGAGAAGAGCTGAGTCAGCTTCACCAACCCCAGCACCTTAGAAACACCTCCCCAACGCTCGTCTTCTCCTCTCTGCATCCTTAGTCAACCACATCCTGCGTGCACACACACACACACACGCGCGCACACACTCACACAACCTTTGCAGGCGTTTGTGTAAGTTGCATCTGTGTAATGTGGGTTGTCTGTGGTTTATCACAGTTCGCTTAAAGAATCCACGCTGTTTCCAAACGCTCGTATGTGTGTTCGCACACTTTAGTGTGTGAGCAGATTCTTTAACTGTATATCTATTATTAAAATTTTTCCTCCCCCCTTGTCCGTATGTGATCAGAAACTGAAGCCACCTCTCATTTTGTTTTTAAAAAAACAGTCTTTTATTCACTCAACAAGCTATGTAGCAAAATATAAAATATGATTATACAACCTGAATATCAGATACTTACTTATATTACAACTATTTGTTGTTTTTCATATTTCAGAATTCAAATACATCCATCAAGTACATTATATATTAGTTTCTGTATTTTGTATATATATTACATTTTTCTTGGAAAAAAACAACAACAACAACAACAAAAAAACCACACATCATGTGGTGTGAAGTAACTCAAAGAAACATAGGATATGATCACAAAGTGGGACAGACACATTTCTATAAGACTCTAAGGAAATATCATAAAGGCCCCCATGAAGTTTTCAGTAACTCCTGGACGCAACTTCTTTATATCCTCCAAAGTGACAAAAATTTTATCACCGCTTTGCAGGTGGAAGATCCCAGCCAGGAAATTGTTCCACAGATCCTCCTTTGGAGAAACTTTTGCACTCGCAGATTTTGGGGTCAAGCAGCGGAAACTAAAGGAAACATGTCAGAGATGTCACTATGCAAACGAACCTCATCTAACAGGTGGCACACAAGTATCTGCGACATCAGGAAGGACAAGAAAAGAGAAGGAAGTGGTACAGTGACTAACCTTTTTGATTTCATTAGTTCTATAGGATCGCCATAGGCGCTGGTGTTTTTCATGACCTTGTGCTGGATAAGTGAACACTCCTCTGCAGCATCTAATTGCACTTTGGAGTAGAGGTAGTAGTAACCTTCCTTCTCGATTATCAGATGGCCTTCCTCGTATCTTATGTTTTGGGTGATGGATTCACCTTCTTGAATGTACTGCACCACATTGTTCTGCTGAGCAGTATTTCTAGGACCTGAGATTGAAGAGAGAACAAAGAGAGGAAAGAAGTTCACTGAATTGAGAAAACAAACAAGTTGAGCTCGAGTCAATAAAGTAGGTCATGTAGAGTATTTAGGTTTGAGGTTCTAACCCATCAAGTGAGCAAAGGGTCTCTGCTGCGTCTGTGTCGTCACCGTGGGGATCTCGTTAACCTCTGTTCAAGAAAGCAAGGTCAGATCAACCAATTAGTCATCCTATAAATCAATCAATACAAAAACACGACAAAATCAGGTGTTTGAGTGCTGAAATTCTGAATGAGGCTACGACATGTTGTTGCATAGTCAAACCGTGTTGTTAGTTGTGTGATGAAGCACAATAAATTATGATAACAGAAAGTAACTCAGTACCTTTAGATCCCACTTGACTCATGGTGCCACTCTGAAAAAGACAAAAAATAAATATAAAAGCAGAAGTAAAAACTACAACACATGCCAGGCAGTCTGACACCATGCCTAAAAACAAAAAAAGTGCATACTGTACACCCACACTCACCGTCTGGCCAGATGTTTGGGGACTGGACGTATTCTGGCAGAGAAGGGAAAGTGCCTGCAGGAAGAGAAACGAAGAAAAAGAGTGAAAAACAATAGAAGAAAAAAAAACCCCACCAGTGCGTAATAGGAAGTTAAAAGTTCAGTGAATGTAAGAACAAGAAGAGTCTTGCTTTATGGAAATTGAAACAGAGTTATTTAATTGTGAAAAAATCCACACGAAGACTCCGAGCACATTTAAAAAAAAATTTAAAAATCAGAATAATTATTGTTACATGGAAAACCCCACTTCTTTTAAAGATTTGTTCATAATAACGCTTTTTGTCCACTGTGTCATGTACATAACAACTCTAACTTTCACTTTTGGTTGCTAAGAGACACAGTAGCTATTAAAGGGGTCTTCTCCTTTAGCTTCTAAACATAATCTGACATAGAAAGTTCAGTTTTTAACTCGAGCACTTATTACATAACATGCAGACAGCATAACATTACAAAGGCAGGTGTGTAATAAACAACACTGTGAAACTGCTTTAGAAAAGTGAAGTTAATGTTGTGGGTTTTTCACTTGAGATAGAGAGGAAAGGGAAGTAGAACTAGAGAAAGAGTCCATCTGACACGTTTCTCATTATCAGCCTGTAACTTAAATCATAAATGACGGTCCGTACAGAAATGTGTTCAGCTGGACTCTAATGCTGTGACGTAGAGAAAAAAAAGGGGGAATTCCAGAAAAAAGGAATTTCCAGTCGTTCCAATACCAACAAGGCTTCTCCATTCAATCAGAAAGACACACACACAGACATTAGTCTCACCTCAATTTTTTGGTAAAGCTTGTAGATTAAAAATCCCTCGAAAATGAGTCCCAGAATGGCCAGTACCACCAGCGGGAGAAGAAACTTTTGGCCCACTTTTCCCCACCTTGGCTTCTTTGCGTTGGACATGTCGATGTAGTTGGCCTGGCTGTCCACCACAAACACCTGGGGGCAGGTACCCACAGCGGCCTCCGACATCCCAGCAGATCACACTCCACCTGGGACGTAAAGGCTAAAGGTCAAAGGGGCTGATGTGAGAGGAAGGGACGCTGAAGAGGAAAAGGTTAGGGTTAGGTAAAGCGAATAAACAGGGGAACAGAAAGGCGAGAGATGAAAGACGAAGGGCAGACAGGGGAGAAGACAGAAACAGACAGTGAGAGAGCGTTAAAGACATGCAGACTTGGCCTCAGAAGTCTGCTTACAGTCGGCACACGCAGTGCAACCAGCTTCTGGGAAACTAAGTGATTTCTACACCCCCTGACTGCTTCAACCACACGAGCAAAGACAGCTGTAGCAGGTCCAATAAATCAAACCTTTTTCTTCAGCATACTTTTAAGGGAGCTTACCTTGAATTTAAATGCTCCTGTATCGGCTCAGTCAACCATCCAGCAGCTCGGGTTGGATTTCACACAGTCCTCTGAGGCTCGTTTGGGATGCTGAATGGCAAATATGTTCTCAGCACAAATTTAAAATAAAGAATGAATAACATTCTCTGAACTATGCTACTGAGTACTATTATTCTTCCTCGGCTTTGAGAAATCCTCTGTCTGTACAGATTTCAGTTCCCCTCTCACCTCTTGTGCTCTCTTGCCTGCTGTCAACTATCACTAATATTGCTTTTCTAGCAAGTAAGGAGGAAATGAAGATGACATGGGGAAGAGGCAAAGAAATAGAGACAAAGAGAGAGAGAGAGAGAGAGTGAGAGAGTGAGTAGTGTGTGTGTGTGTGTGTGTGTGTGTGTGTGTGTGTGTGTGTGTGTGTGTGTGTGTGTGTGGGACACTCCCTACGACTTCTGAATATAGTTATCGTCCAAAAGTTGACACTTCCTTTTCTCTTCTCTCTTCAGTTTCTCACTCTTTGCGTTCGGCTCTCTGTCTTGAAGAGTTTTCGTTTGCTTTTTCTGTCTCTGTAGCAACTTCGTTTTTAGTCACTTTCTGTGAAACTTCTTTACCCTTTCTCTTGGCCTCGCTGAAGTACACTTTGACACAGTTTTTAAAAAAAACCAACGGAACCACGTGCGACGTTAAGCCTTTGCAACTTCAGCCGTACCAGCTGAAGTTGGGTGGTCTTGTTGTTACAGAAAAATCGACACGTCCGACCGCACTGTCACCCACAGTGCATTTAGGAAGCACCTTCTCACAACATCAGGGGAAACTTTTCTCACCTGCACCTACACAAGCGTCTCAGGTGATGCTCTGAGCAGAATTTAGTTTGTTTAGTGAGGTAGACTTTTCGAGCAGCAACAACCTGCAGTGATTGAAGATTACTAATGTGTTGCAGAGAATTGAAGACAGTGAAGCAACATCTCTTTTCTTCTTCTTCTTTGTTTTCCTCCCTTATTTACGGTCAGAGTTGCTACATTTTGAGAATGCACGTCCTCTTCCTTTTTTTTTTTTCTCCTTCACAGTTTTATAACCAGCAATTTATGATTTTTGCGTCAGCCTTTTGCATATGTGGGAAGCTGAGCAGAAGTACAAAAATGCAGACAATCTGTGTCGGCTATAGATATATGATCGTTTTGATTTTTTTAAAATCACATTTGTTTCATGTATGTGGATTGTGGACATTGATATTGACAGTTTTCTTTCATTTTTTTTTTTTGTTTAAATGCTGTGACAAGCATTATGAAGATGTAACTAGAAATTAAGAACTTGATGACTCACTCTTGGTCTTGTGCGATTCTCTGTAAAGTAATGTGAAACCAACCGTTTTTTTCTTTTCTTTTCTTTGTTGTAGGAGGTTGCAGTTTGACGAGACAAACTCCATATGGTGAAACTACATGCACTCTGACTTACTTTCTACCCACACACTTTAAATTCCTACTTCATACAAAGACACACATACACACACACGCACACGCATACACATACGCGATGTGTGAACGCTGTGTTCAGTACAGATAAAGATGCAGGGAGGACAGACGGAAGTGTAGAGTCGCTGTGAGCCTGAGTGTAGTTCTTGTGGTTGTTGCTTCTTAAAAGCAGCACTACTGAGGAAGAGACAAACCTTGACATACAGAGTGTTGAGCTCCAGAGGTCACAGTTATTGTTGCTGAAAACACGAGCAAACATTGAAAAAAAAAAACAAAAGAAGTAAATTGTTCTGTATGATACACATATTTGAGCTTTCTGGAGTTCTTTTAAAGGTCTTTTTTCATATATAAAATTTTGGATGTGTAAAATTGCATCTTTGAGAATATAAAAACGCATATTACTGTCATTCCTTTGCCACGCCCTTAACTAGACACCCTTACAGCTATACAAGCCAATCACAATTTTATTAATTGCTATATAGAAACTGAAGACCCAATAGTTGTCAAGCTAAAGATCTGCGTAATCCTCCTCCCAGCTGGTGTCAGCTCTTTACATCTGTCTACTTCTCTCCTGCTCTCTGTGCTCACATTTATTGTATCTTAATGTAGCTGATTTTCCAATAAAACTGTTCTCATTTACATACAAGTGTGAACTAGTAACTGAAATGCAGCCCGTTAGCACTACATGTTACCCAGCAGTCCCTTCACAGTCATTTCCAAGCAGTGGCTCTGCAGCCAAAAATACTAATTTAGTAATTGCAACATTGTTTGACAAACTCACCATAAAAATGGACTAAAGACAACAGCTGTGCTGTCAACTGGGCAATATTTCTTTGTTAAATTATCACTCAGAGATGATGTTAAAAGCCATACAGAGGTCTGGTCTCACACAAATGTTTGCTCTGCAGTCAAGTGTTTTCGAGCGCAGAGAGTCTTCTTCCAGAAAATGGTGAGGTCAGCAGCAGCACAATTTGGAATTGGGCTAAAAACAGACATTACACATGCAGTGGTGAAATAAACTATCCTTGCAGTATTCTGAAAAACGGAAAGAGACGTTCTGGGAACATGTGAGACTTTTATTATTTACTGTAAAGGGACCCAGTACGGGACCTTTAGTCTTGAGGGATGCTAAGTCAGCTAGTCTTAGTTATGTTATGAGAGTAGCTGGAGGACCTATTCATACATCTATACTCACAACCAGGGATTTACAGGCTGCAGATTAAAGTGGGTGTGATAGTTAAGGTAATAATAAAAGCTATTATCCTAAATTATTATTATTATTATTATTATTATTATTATTATTATTATTATTATTATTATTATTATTATTATTAATAATAACCATGCTTTATGTGGGTCTAATGATAATATCAATGAATAAAGTATGATGTAAGTAACTTAGAATACCATCATGTTTATTATTGAGAATATACAGTTGGGGGTGCATAAGTGCTTACAGAGACTCATAAAGTGACCGGCTTGTATCTTGAATTTTTTTTCAGAGACAAAAGAAAACCTTCAATGAACAAAAAGAGGTGCTGCATCAAACAGCAAAGGCCACAAGTAAGCTAATACATGGAGCAACTGTTGAGCTGCCATTGTAGCTTTGAACCGATCTGAAGGTAAACTGCAGATAAATCAATTAGAGCAACAATGTAAGGAAACAGATGAGGGAAGAAAATGTTAAGACACCAGCCATGTCTGGGGGAAAATGAGAGCCAAGTATGAACATAGTTGACGGCAATATTTGCATTTCACTTTTATTCACTGAAAATCTGGTGTTTCCATTAAAATAATGTCCTGTGATGAAACACAATGTGATTTTCTGTGGAACTCATAAATGTTTTTAAATGACTACAGGAATATAATGTAAAAAAAAAAAAAAAAAAAATTTTCTGTGGAACTCATAAATGTTTTTAAATGACTACGGGAATATAATGCAAAAAAAAAAAAAAAGCCATGTTATCTTTGTTAATCATTTACAAAAATACACAATGAACATATCCTTTACACATAATTCAGTCATGTTGTTACATTTAACATCTAATTAGTGGTTTATAGTTTGGCATCTTTAAAGCTGATACATCGCTCGTAGATTGCTTTAATCTTGCGGTACATTACACAGTTTGTGGTACATCTACCCTTCCTATATGAGCATAACATTTACTTTTAGTGTGGCTTTTAAATGTCAAACCACTGAAAAATTTCCAGAACCACACAAAATTTCCAGCAGAGGACACTGACTGACTTCTGCTTGGCTTTAAATGACACAAAAAAAGTCTCCTGGAAGTGACATTATTAAATCATTTTATTAAAACTCAAACATGTTTTATTTATGTGTTTATTTATGTTTTACTATTATGGATTAGAGAGGACTTTAATGGGTTTCCATAGGTGTGAAATGACAGCTTTATCAAGCAGTTGGCTGTGCCGAATTAACTGAAAAATAACATTTGTTTTTAATTAGACCAATCGCTCCAAAGACTTTGTAGTAGTGATGGTAAAAGTAGTGTTCAAAAAGCTTTAATAATAATATTCCTTCCTTTATATGCTCTGTAGGTGGTTGAATTAACAATTGAATTCACTGTTTCGTGTTCTGCTACTGTGACGACATCATATTGTTTGTTCCTCGCTAAAGATTTTCTCTGATTTGAATTACTTCTGCTTGCATTTAAAATAGTGTCAATCACAATTGCCAAAACCCCCAGACGACATGTTCATACAGCTCATACGGCCACACAGAGCAGTCCAAAGTTCCCAAATAATCAGTGTACCATCACAAGTAATAGCTGTTAGCAGATAAGTGGAAAAATGCAAGCTGTTCAGAAGTGTGAAAAAGGGAATGTTTGGCCTTTTTGCTTAAAAATGTATTCAAATGACTATTTCCTCATCAAACAAGTTGCCAGTTATTGTAGTTGATAGACCACTTGTTGCAGCTCTAGTGGTTAAAGTGGGATGATGCAACAGAACTCGTCATTGTAAAAGCAAGTGCAAACAAAAAGTAAGAAATTAAAGTAATAAAGCACTTACGGCAAGAGTCTATCAACTGTGAAACTATTTAGCTCTTTAAAATCAGTCTCATTTGAGCTTCATGGACCTAAAACAGAACCTAAAAGCCACTTTAGTCGGTAATCTTTCTTTCCATATGTTATCTCACTTCTCCATTTTCGGTTTTTGTTGTTGTTGTCATAATGATACCTTCGAGGCTCCAACTGATGGATGTTAAATACTCTTTACTGACTCATGTGCTTCTCACTGGCTCATTCAATTCAATTATTACCTATTTCTCAATATTTACATGTTGCTCCCAATTCCCATTTTGCACAGATTCTTCACACAATTTGCTACAATGTGTCTGTATGTCTAGTCTGTGGTATGTACAAAAACAGCACACTGGGGCAACCGAAACGAGTGGGTGTGCAGATAAACGGGCTGCGTCACAAACTTCATTCTATTTGTAGTGTGTGATTAGTCATTTTCTTCAGTTATATGTCTTGGCCTGATCCAAATCTCCAGTGGTGACACGACACTTGAGCACCACGAGGAGGAGGACTGCCAACTAATACTGAAAACGATAACGCAATTCAGAGTCATGGTAAGCTGCGACAGTAAACCACCGTGCAGTATAAGGCCTGAACTGATCGTTGATTACTGTTGTCACAGCTACACCTGTGTTTTGATACGTTACTGCAGAGAAAGAACAGGTGGAAAGAAAATGAATGATGGCTGAATTCCATTTTGCTGCTTCCACTGAACTACTGTGGAACTGATGTTGCTGACTCAATGCTGGATACAAGCTTTTCATAGCATGCTGTTAGTAAAATCTGTAATCTGTA